AATGCTTTAATATCCTTTGGGTGAAAATTTATTTTCTTACTTAGTCCTCGAGTCTTCTAGTTTCATGAACATAGAAAAAAACCATGCACCCAACTACACTACTTCCCAAACCATAGAAAATGAAGCTCTTTAATGGTATTTGATACCGATCGAATAAAAAAATTATGAAGCAAAAAATATTCTTAAGTTGTCTTAAAACATCTTTGTTCTTTACTCCAACCAAATTAACAACGTACTAATAATGAAAACCGTTTTTAGATTAAGTTCATCTTACCAAAGAATCTTAAAAAATGGGAGAAAATAAATTTTCCATAAAAATAAATTTTCTAAGAAAGTATCCTCACTCCAACCAAATGCATCATTTACCTCCTCTATTTCCGAATTTCTTATCTTTGTTTCAAAATTCTTTTTATTTCTGTAAACTTCTTCAAGTTTTTTCTAAGTGTATCTGATTTCTTCAAATAGTAATTTTAGAATTATATATGTGAATTTTATATTATTCTTATTTCTATTATTATTATTATTATTATTATTATTATTATTATTATTATTATTATTATTATAAATGTACAAAATGAGCACCATTTAACTTATAAACCCATACATAATGAATATTGTGTGGTAGAAAACCCACTATCCAAAATTCATGAGAAAACTCACTCACACGCCCTAGCCTCGATGAAAGCTTTGGTCGTCATTATTTTGAGAAAGTAAGAACAGATATCACATTCTAATCAAATCGAGTCAATAACACTAAAAAATGAATATACAATTCATATGACCCTTTTTATCTAAATTTAAAAAATAAGACCTTTCAAATACGCACAAAGATAATTGTTTTTTATTCGCTTTTGAATCTTTATACTTTTGGTTGACTCATTTTTTTCTTTGTAATAAAATTATTGTTTAATTATTTTTATCGTCATATTAAAAAAAACTCTTTTGCTTAATCAGAATAAAGTAAATAATATGTATCACATTGACCATTTCTAATAATAAATGAATATCGCTAGTTTAACAAAAATAAATTGAAGGAAATTGAAGGATATATATATAAAAAAAAATTGAAGGAAATGAATTGTAGTTTAAAAAATATTTTGTCATTTAAGATTTTAAAATATAGTTATCTAAATATTAAAAGATTTTGTCATTTAAGATTTTGACCTTTTCGATTAAAATTTATAATCTTTGATCTCAAATTAAAAAAAACGATATTAAATATTGACATAAAAATAATTTTATTAAATTTATTTTGTAAATTAGTTTTTAAATATATTTTATCTAGATGCATGGCAATGTCATCCGTTGACACTTGATAGTATCGACTGAACCTTGCTGTAGAATTGTAGTTTAAAAAATATTTTGTCATTTAAGATTTTAAAATATAGTTATCTAAATATTAAAAGATAGTTAAATTAAAGATACATTTCCTTTATGATTTTTTTTTAAGATAGAACAAATGTTCTTTTAAAAAATAAAAAGTTCTTCATTTCATAGATTAACTATTAAATAAAAATACTATATATAAAAATCTGTATCCCATTGAAAAATTTGAATCTTGATTGAATCTTTATTTACATTCCTTAATATGAAACACACGAAATCATAAAGTATTTTTTTTGTTAAAAATACCTTTTTAAATTACGTGATTCACATTTCTTATTTAATATGTTATGGATGTTCTTTAGAAAAAAGTAACATTTTAATACTTGTAACTATAAAGGTTGAAAATTTTTATTACTTAAATACATACTTATAAAAATATGGAGTATAAATATGTAAAATAAAGTATTACATTTTTTAGGAATAAATTTTTTAAAATTTAAAAGAAGTCAACTTTCCATATATGATGCAAAAATATCATGATAATGCTCTAAGTATTCTGACTTCTTTTAAACTTGCTCATGAGATTATTCTTGAACAAGACATTATTCTTTGTGTTCTATGTGGCTTGTCCGCCAAATATTCAACCCTAAAACAGAATGTTCGCACCAACATTGGAACTCTAAGTTTTATCAAGTCTTATCCTCGTTATTGTCTAAGGAATGGAATGTTCATACGTCTAAGGATCTAAAACAGAATGTTCGCACCACATATATATCTGACCCACACCCACCGCCCATTCTCGATGCTCAGCCCATACTCGAAACCAGCACCCGTACCGAACTGACACCTGAAACCCAAAACACACCCGCATCCCACTGACAGCCCAACCGAATTGTATCCCACCCGTAACCCACCCAAACCATCCCCACCTCACCTATTCAATTTGGAAGTATAACTCTAACTCAAACTAGTCCCGAATCGTCTCAACATTCTTCCTCCCCCACCGCCTCCACCACGTCACCTTATGATTATCATTCCCTTCATGTTATTTCCAAACCTAAACTCTATGCTCCTACTATCCCTTCTTCTACACCACCTATTACTGAGTTTGTTACCTACAAAGAAATCTATACAGATAGTTATTTCTGTTAGGCTATGGGTGAGGAATTCATTGCCTTGATAAATAAAGACACATGGAGATTGTTTCGACACCCATAGATCGTTCCCTATTAGTTATAAGTGGGTTTAAAAAATCAAACATAATGCTGATGGCTCAATTTCTAGGTACAAGGCTCGGTTGGTATTTAAGGGGTACACTCAAGAGTATGGTCTTGACTATTTTGAAAATTTCATTCTTGTTGTCAAGCAACATACTATACAAATTGCTCTCTTTAGCAGTTAATAATGATCGGGGTTTACATTAGTTGGATGTCTCCGATGCATTCCTTCATGGGAAGGTGCCTGAGAGGTTTTATATGCATTAGCCCCCTGGCTATATTAATCTGAAGTGTCCTCATTATGTGTGTTAGTTGAAGAAGTCTTTTTATGGTTTAAAACAACACCTAGGAAATGGTGCCACTATCTATCAAGCTTACTCCTTGATTATGGCCGGATTTTGGAAAAAATAAGCATGATACTAGCGTCTTTGTCATTCATTCATACCTCACACGTCATTCTAATCCTTCTTTTATATGTTTAATTTATCACTGTCATAGGAAGTACCTCTACCCTCATCAATGCATTTATTCAGGACATGCAGCATGAATTTGAAATAAAAGATCTTGGTCCTCTTCACTTTTTGTAGGTCTTGAGATTAAACGAACAACCATGCTTAACCCTAGCATGGTTGATTTAAAATTACTCACTCAATTGCTTTGTTCCTTTATTTCAAGTCTCAACTTTAATTAAAATATACTCCCTCAGTCTCAGAAAACATGGGAGTTTTGATTTTGAAGAGAGATTTAAGGAGAGTGTATTTTGGTATAGAATTTCTAAAAATGTCCTTTGATGTGATGGGTAAAAGTATGATTTGATGGATAGATTATTAGTAAAAAGGTATGATGTGATAGGAAAAGTATGAAAAAGTAAGGGGTAAAAGTGACTTTTTAATAGAAATGAGAAGTGTTTTTTGGGACGGATAAAAAAAAGAAGAAATGTTTTCAGGGACGGAGGAAGTACGGAGTAGTATTTAAATAAAAAAAAACATCATACGGAGTATAGTAGATTAGTAGTACAGAAAAATAAAAAAAAAAAATAATTAAAAAAAGGAGTGAGTTCAAATGGGGCGGCCCTCCTTGGGGAAACGGTCCCTTAGGACCAATTCATCTCCAAATCTCCAATGCAAAATAATTAAAGTGAGATGCCACGTATGAGAGAGAGAGAATGGGAGTTGGTCCCACATGCTCTCGATCACAGCGTTACTCTTCCGCCAACCAAAATTTCAACATTCTTTTGAAAATTCACCTTCTCTTTTTTGTTTCTTTTTTTAAAGTGAAAGAAAATTTCCAAAGTAATATTCGTAGTACTCCGTAATTCTCCCTCACTTGACTGGACTTACAAAAAAAGGTTATATTTTTTTGAAAGACCAAAAAAAGTGGTTCATATTTCATCACGAGTGACATAACGATCAATACTTAAAATGCTAACGATTTTACCAAGTAAAAAAATATTACTCGTTAAAAAAAGTGGTTCATATTTCACCAAAAGTGACACAAGGATCAATATTTTAAAATGCTAACGATTTTACCTAAGTAAAAATATTACTTGTTAAGTCGCACAATTTTTACTTGTTCTATATATTGTATTTTGCTCGTACAATTTTAGCCAAAAGTTGTTCTTAAGAAAATATTACTACCTACCTCTCTTACACAACATTTTTCAAAAAGGAAAAAAAGCTGTACTCTAAAAATGTAAAATTTTGATATTATTTTCTAATTTTTTCTTACTTTATAAGAAAATAAGATATGATGTGTAGGATAGATGAGTCATAATTAGTAAATAATAACAAAATATTCCATTTTTAGAACGTGTCATTTTTTATTTTTGAAAAGTTTTATGAGACGGAGGAAGTAGTATAATTTTATGACATATTTTTAAATTTTTGAATATGCTAAATACAGTATGTTGATTTAGAGAAAACTTGATATAACATTACAATTCTTATGTGGTCTTTGCTCTCTACTCATTTTATACTCCCTCTATTCCATACTCTCTCTATTCCCTCTCATGATGCCTGTGCAGGAGGTGAGTAGAACCTTTATATGCAAATACCTTATATTTGAATGATCTCTATTTTGGTTACCCAAAAAATGAATGATCTCAATTTTTTAAAAAAACATTTTGACCTCAGCATGAGCCACCTCTAAATTGTGATAAGTTACCCTGTGTTCAACAAGAGAGTCCTCTTTGAAAATGTCCGTTGGAAACAGCCTGCCTACTTTCAAGTAGGGGCCGGGTAAGATCTGTATACAAATATCCCTGCAAGACCATACTCTTGTGGGATTCAATTGGGTTGTTGTGTAATCTGAACAAAGGAATCGAAGGAAGCTAATTTCTTGTCATACATCATTTTTTTATATAAAAAGTTTCCTAATCAAGTTGAGTGTGAAATTAAGTCAATCGAGTAAATAAATTTTTGAAATATAACTATAAATGATTACTATATCCAATAGTCGCACCTTATAAAAATTTTGAACATGTACATTTGTCAAAAAGAGTGACTCTTAATGGATCAAACAGTACACTTTAAGCCCAATATTAAGAAAACATGCCTCCACGAGTGCGTGTATGATGTTACATTGGTCAAACGGTGTATGTAATATTTTTTGAGTAATAATCCTATATTGAGTATGGCTTTAACTTATACTCCACCTCTGCCTTTATGCAGTTTTAACCACTCATTTTCAATATAATTTAGTTTGGTCACCAAATATTCTTATCAATAGGGCCGATCCAGAGTGCGTAAAGAGGATGCTGGAGAAAGTTGACATGGAAGATGATACAGTAAGTCCCCATTAAGAACCTTGAAACATGAACTTATTACTAAGTACAACAAATAGCATCATGCAAACACCTTGTGAAATCTTTGAAGTTCAACATCTTCACTTTTTTCGACATGAAATTTCTCTGTAGCCTCTACATCATGCTGCAAGAGGTGAGCATGCACATGTTATAAAGTTGTTGCTAGATTCTGGGGCTTCTCCTACTAAGAAAAATTCATTTGGCAAGGTTAGATCGTTACGAAAAACTAACCGCATTTTTGTTGCTTAGCTTTGCAAAGTCTAATTAACCTTGAATGAAATGTTTCAGATCCCCAGTGAGCTTGTTGAATCTGATTCTGAAGCTATCAAAGTCTTTGAAATGGCTGCAAATGCAATGGCTACCTGCTGAGTTTTTTGTTTGTTTGTTTGCGGAATATAATAGCACGAGCACGGCTTCTTCTTTATCTTCTTTTTTGAAATATTGACCAGAAGATTCTCACCACCATCTATTTCCCCAGATGCTAATGGAAGTATGCCTAGAAGGAAGGCACTGACATTGTTTTAGGATGGCCTTTCCCATGAGTTAGCTTTTTAAGCCAATAATTCCAGTCTCCTTCTAATGAAAGAAATCTGTGGTGTGTGTTGGAATTTTTGGCATTTTAATTGGCATTAAATGGACCAATTTGGGTATATTTGTCAATAGGTCCACTAACGGTTTTAACCGTTTATTAATGGACGTGTGTTCTCTTAAATGAGATAAATGTTTTGACAATTTATACGCCAAAAATGGTAGAGGGTGAATGAGAAATTGATTCTCAGAGTTAACCCGTTAATAAAAGAATATGGTGAGGATTGCAATTTTTGCAATTTTACTGAACCAATCTTCTTTTATTAATTTTCCGTATTGTTTAAAATTAGTCCATTTTTACGGAGTTAACTGGCNGTGCCTTGCGTGAGGAAGAGAGAAAGAAAAGAGAAAACACTTTATTATTTTCTTTAGAGAGAGCTCTTGATTTTCCGGCCAATTTTTCCGGCAACCCCTTTAAAGTTTTTGATCGTCAACGTTCCTACGTTGTTCTTGTTCGTTGGTGTGTGGTTGGTCCATACAATCTCCACACACGATAGCGGTTTTATCCTGGGAGGAGAGTGCCCACGTTTTTCCGGTACGGTAGGCGGGCACTACTACCTTAAGGACAGCTCCGGCGACTCCGCTGTCCTTCCACGGTGTTGTGTTTTGCAGGTTCAGTTCATAAAGACCTCGCTGCATTCTGTCCTAGTGCATAATGTCCTCGAAGCCCAGTGCATAATGTCTTCGCAGCTCTGTGCATAACGTCCTTGAATCGCTGTCCAATGCTTAAAGACCTCGCTGTCCAGTGCTTAAAGACCTCGCTGTCCAGTGCTTAACGTCCTCGCTGTCCAGTCCTTAATGTCCTCGTACAGCAAGGCCGTTTGAAGATATAGCAATTTATTTTCAGCTTTGTTTATTTTGTAATATTCTGAATAAATTATAAATTCAGAATTTTATTTATTTTTATTTTCCAGGGCCGTTCATCTTCCCCGTCCGTTGTAATCCGTACGAGAATTTGTAACAGTGTGTGTGTTTTTTTCTGGGTTGTTGAGGTTGGGGAGTAGACTATTGATGGTCCAAGGCCCCAAGGTGATGACGCGAAGCCTGTGTCTGATTCATGAAAGAACAAGAACTGGTAGTGAACATCGCCAATGGCATGGTAGGGCGCCGTACCGATGAGAGTGTTTGGCTTATTGCCTCTAGAGGTGACAAGAATATTTTATTTTATCAAATAATTAATCGAGACGCATAATTAAACGAAAGATTCTGTAACTTTTAAATAGTAAGGTGTGTAAATCTTTTTGAGGCAAAAAGAATAAATGTACTCGGTATTACAAGAAGAATTATTGGCGAGAAAACACGTAACAAGCAACAACATAATGGGAGTGGATAAAGTGGAGGGGGGGTCAAACGACCGATCGATGATGAGAGGTCACATGTGCCTGATAGGGGGCATCATCACGTGTCCAATCAGCGACACCATCCATCACTCGTTGATATCTCTGGCCTTACAATCCACGGCAAAACAAGACCCATTATTGTGATTATTGTCATCGTTAGCATCCATCCAATGCTGCAAACCGATGCATTAAAAAAATGTTCGTATTATGAGCAAACTCTATATTTTAATTAATGAAATCATTTAATTTAACATAGTAGAAATAAACCTTTTTGGAGGGGAATTTGAACCGGAACCACTAGGCGGTTGCATAACTGTTGTGCCTGGCGGAGTCGTCACACCATTTAGATCTAGATTTGGGTTGCCTGTGAAGTCGCTGTATATATATGTGCACGCAAGGTTTGCACATGCATGAGATCGTTGTACGGACGTACTAGCCTCCAAAATCTCACAAAATTTTTCTAGTTTTGATTTTTAGAAAATTTAAGAGAAATATATTTTGATGTTACTTTAAAAAATGTCCTTAGATGTGATCAATAAAGGTAACAGGATATTATGAATATATTAATAGTAACAAAAAATACAATGTGATAAGTATGTTAAAAATTAGTATAGAAAAAAGAGAATTTTTTTTAGACAAATAAAAGAAGAGAAGAAAAAATTTTGTGGGATAGATGAAGTAATAAGTTCACATATCCTCTTCCATGTTCTCATAAAATTAATTTTTGAGTCATGCTATATTAACTCCAATATAAAACTTACATCTGACGCCAATTACCATCAGAGACATTACAAACATTGAACACTGGTAATATCTATGAAATTGCCTTCATAGACATTGCAAGCATTGAATACTGGTAATAACTGTAAAATTGTCTTCACAGACATTACAAACATTGAACACTGGTAATATCTCTGAACACAATTGGGGTCAAAAGTGAGATTAAAATTATCGTCCAGCTGTTTCAATTAAAGTACATCCTTCCAGAGGAGTTCCATTTTATACGGAGTAAATGTCTATCTCTAACCGTTGAAAAAAAAGTTGTACAAAAAAATGGTTAAAAAATACCAGCATAACAAAAGTAAAGCTTGCGTGACAAAACATGGATTTAGTAGATAGAGATTTTCTAAAGCTAATAAGTAATAACCCTATTAGGATGTTGTATATGTTCAAACGTGTGGACATATTAAAAAAAGTAGAGTCATTATGATGTTGAATCAAAAGATCTACTTTAACAACTAGATAGAGAATAATTGATACATAAGTGGAAATTTAGAATATTCACATGTGTACTTACAAGGATCGTTCATCTTTTCCCACAAAGCACGAGGGAATTTTACCAGATAATGCGTTATTAGCAAGCGACCTTCAATGAAAAAAAGAAGAATTTACATGAATACTTCAATTAAAAAAGAAAAAATCACATCAATATTGTAAATAATTAGCAATTTTGCGTTAATGCTTTTTAAAAATTTAACAATTGACATCTACGTGATTATGACATCAGGTTCCTACATGTTTCGAACGAAACAATGATGTTACTCACCATGTACTTTGAGGGTGTTTGGGAGTGTGTTGAGTTATGTAAAAATAGAAGTCATAATTTAGAAGCAGAAAGCATATATTTGTAGCTTTGCTAGAAAGCACTTCTAGACCTTAATTTTAACTTCTAAAGACATAATTTATAAGCTAAAGCAGATTCGCAAACATTTAAAGTTGTGTTTTAGTAAAGTAGAAACTAGAAGTTATTTTCAAATGCAATCCCAAACACCCTCTTCATCCACTCCAAAGTCAACTAATTTTGGAGATTGCAATTACTAGAGCTGAGGGGGTGCAAGGGTGCATGCATTAAGACCAGGCAAAATTAGAGGTACTTACCAAGTCACGGGTTAGGGGACAAAAATCATAATATCAATTTTTCAATTGATGTACTCTAAGTGATTCCATTGAGTCGATGTCATATTATAACATTGAAACTTAATATTAAAAGATCATTGTTATTGCTTACTTTTCCTTAATTAATTTCTTATTTATTTTGGTGTCCAGAATAAATTAATTGCATATCATATTTAAGTGCTAGTCTCTTTAGCTTATTTATATGAGAAATTTACAACAATAGGAGTAAAAGAGGGTGGTTTCCCCTAAATAGGAGTGGTCCTATGTGACCACACGTTGGGAGTTAAAAATTACTTAAATAACCTCCTAATCCTATCTTTGCCCTTCTAATATCATGCGCATGATCTCATGCTTTCCTTCCATTTTTTATTTTTAATTTTCTTTACATTTTTAAAGATAATATCAAACATTTAATTCTCCTATTTTTTAGGCTAAAATTTCTACATATTCTACCCTATTAACTACCACTCATCCATTCCATTGCCAATCTAAACACACCGTACTCAACCAGTTCTTCCTCCCTATCCGTTTTTTTTACACTATGCATGTTTTCTTCGTTATTGGCATCCATATGTAATCAATAATGTCCTTATACTTGGATTAAAAAATAATGTCCTTATACCCATAAGTGAAATTTGCACTAAATATGACTAAAATATAAATCATTTTTTAATGTAAGACTTAAATTTTTTTATTTTCTAAATAGGACTTAATAATGACTAGTGAAAAAATAATGTCCAAGTAATGCTGGACATTTAGTTGAATAATAACTAATAGATAATGACCAATGATCTTACATTAGTAAAAAAACATATGTTCCTATATTGAGAAAGTCATTATGTTTTTGTCCTATTTATGTAAATTACCCAAAACCCATTCATGAATTGAAGACCTACACGTAAAATCAACTTTTATTCATGTCCAGCATCACTTGATTTTCCCAATGTAGGACTTACACTTTTTTATTTCCTAAATAGGACTTAATAATGACTAATGAGAAGAATAATGTCCAAGTGATGCTGGATATTTAATTGAATAATGACTAATAGATAATGACCAATAATCCTACATTGGAAATAAAAACATATGGTTCTAAATTGAGAAAGTCATTATGTTTTAATCATTATGTTTTAGTTCTATTCTTTTTTTACTTCATTATTATTTTAAATTACGATTAGGATTTTAAAATTACGATGAAAAAAATACACTCTCGTTGTCTAGAGATTATCTTCTCGTTACATATTACAGTGTTTGACTAAAATTATTTTCATTTCAATTTTTTTAAAAATTTGGTGTAGATTTTAAAAATAAAATTATATACTTAAAAATAATATCAAACATTCTACAAAAATGAGGCAAAATATGTTTTACAAACAAGAAGTGACATTATTATATTGTTTTACAAATGTGTAATAAGAATTAGTAAAGAAAGTGAATATATATATTTATTATAAATTGATTGCAAGAATGAAGAAAGAGTCTTGTTATTGTGGTCCTAATGTCCAAATATGAAATATGGACATTTTTATATATTTTTATGATTTCATTTTGGATTTTTTACAATCATCAATATATGTAATTATTTTATATGTTAAGGTTCATAAAGTAAATATGAATCTAAGAATCATACAAGTTTGAATATGTTGAGAAGTAAGAACAAAGAAATGTGTTCTCAAAAAAAAGAACAAAGAAATGTAGAAAATGGAGGAGAAAAATGGTAGCATTAAATCTGTGATGAGTGGCCATAAATAGGGATGTAGAGTAATAAATTTAT